GAATGTGGGGCCATGAGGCTGAGCCACAGCCATGAGTTTTGCAGCTGTGATCGCCTGCACTTTCCTCCTGAAGTTGCTGGAGGAATAAAGGAGGCGATTGACGCACACTTAGAAAGTAAGTGTGAATAGGAGCAGCTCGCTGTGGTCACCGGCTGCTGCTTATCTGCTGTCGGTGGCTAGTGAGCAGTCCCTACTATGTTACTGCGCCGTCCTTTGGGCCTTGCAGATATCCTGGAGCATCTGCCGTCCTTTGGGCCTTGCAGATATCCTGGAGCATCTGGCTTATTCACTCCTTCCTCTGGGCCCATCCTTTCCTCTCTGACTCTCATCAGGTGTCCTGACAACTCTGTGAGGGCTTTTTTTGCGGTGGACACTGGTGGTGAAAGGGATGGGCTGGGGTTTCACATATGAATTCATCAAATTTCACCAGTACCTGTGAAATGGGCTCTTTTATGTTTTTCCCACGTGAATAACCTGAGGATCAGAGCGATGAGTAGCTTGTCAAAGTCACAGAATTTGAGTGTGTGTCCTAGTTTTCCTCAAAGGCTCTGCACTTATAGCATTTTCTTGTGTTGTACCGTGCTGGACTGTATGGCCTTCTCTGTGCACAACATGAGTTAGGACCTTTTTCAATTGATGTGACCTGAGGTCCCATTTTTATGTGACTTTCCAGGTAATATACGAGCTTCTGGAATGTTCTGACTCTTTGCGACCCCATGGACTGCAGCACACCAGGCCTCCCTGTCCATCACCAACTCCTGGAGTTTACTTAAATTCATGCCCATCGAGTCGGTGATGCCATCCAGCCATCTCATCCTCTGTCGTCCCTTTCTCCTCCTGCCCCCAATCCCTCCCAGCATCAGGGTCTTTTCCAATGAGTCAGCTCGTCTCATGAGGTGGCCAAAGTATTGGAGTTTCAGCTTCAACATCAGTCCTTCCAATGAACACCCAGGACTGATCTCCTTAGGACAGACTGGTTGGATCTCCTTGCAGTCCAAGGGACTCTCAAGAGTGTTCTCCAACACCATAGTTCAAAAGCATCAATTTTTCGGTGCTCAACTTTCTTCACAGTCCAACTCTCACATCCATACATGACCACTGGAAAAACCATAGCTTTGACCAGATGGACCTTTGTTGGCAAAATAATGTCTCTGCTTTTTAATATGCTATCTAGGTTGGTCATAACTTTCCTTCCAAGAGTAAGCGTCTTTTAATTTCACAGCTGCAGTCACCATCTGTAGTGATTTTGGAGCCCAAAAAAATAAAGTCTGACACTGTTTCCACTGTTTCCCCATCTATTTCCCATGAGGTGATGGGACCAGATGCCAAGATCTTAGTTTTCTGAATGTTAAGCTTTAAGCCAAACTTTTCACTCTCCTCTTTCACTTTCATCAAGAGGCTTTTTAGTTCCTCTTCACTTTCTGCCATAAGGGTGGTGTCATCTGCATACCTCAGGTTATTGATATTTCTCCCGGCAATCTTGATTCCAGTTTGTGCTTCTTCCAGCCCAGCGTTTCTCATGATGTACTCTGCATAGAAGTTAAATAAGCAGGGTGACAATATACAGTTAGGGGCACACAATAAACACATCACACTGTTTTGGGTGATAGAGACTGATTTTCAGGATCTCCAAGGGGCGTGCACTGGTGTTTCTGGCTCATATTTGCTTGGAGGGAATGAGTCCTGGTGATTATGAGAAAAGAAAGTGACTTTGGCTGCATCCTCCTGGGCTGTCCTTTCTGTGTTAGTAGAACCCAGCAGCTTTCCCGGAAGATGGAGTAGATTAACATTCTCTGGCTTGGGGACACATGTGCCTCCGCATTAGCCTGGGCAGTGTTGGCAAGCACCTGAGGGTGGCAATGGCCTATGGGGTGCTCTCTCAGTCACTGCCCAGTGCGGGAACACCAAATCCCACCGTCTTCTCCACAGAAAGGCTTGGGTCCTCTGGTGGAAGGCGGCTTGGCTCTCTTTCACACCCCTCTTCAGACCTTGGCACCTTTAAGACCTCTCTTTCCTGTCCAACCCTCTTTGCCTTGCAGCAAAGACATTTACCTCTGTCTTCAAGATGGATTCTAGACCTAGCTGCACCCGCTTCCCTACCACTGGCCTGGGCCAGGGCACCGGGTTCTGCTTGGGTCCTGCTATGCCTCCCTCCTGTCTGTGGGGAGCCTTGGACTCTCTGACACTCCCTGCCCTCCAGGGACTCCCTAAGGCTCCTCTGGATGCACTCCTGGTTGTTTGCCCTGTCTCCTGCTGCCACCCTGGCCCTTCTGCGTCCTTCACATGCAGGCGCACCCCTCCTTCTTGGGGTCACTGCTCCCCTCCCCACTCACCCGCTAGGATGGCCTTCACGCTTTCACACTCCTGCTCAGCCCTCCACTCAATGTCACCTTGCCAAAGCCCTCACTGCACATTCCTGCACTGTTTTTTACCACCAGGCAGAAGATGATTCACTTGCTTGTTTACCATCTGTTTTTCCAGTGAGCCTGACTGCCTCCTGTGAAGTTCCTCCCACCTGGGCAGCTGGGGACCTGGCTTGTGCTGGGGATGCTGTTGGAAAACCACAGACAAGGAACCCAGGAGAAGAGACAGTTAACCCAGGAGACCCTGAAAAAGCACATCTCTCATGAGGGCTAAGTCTTTGGTTCTGTGCCCTGCACTGGATGGAGAGATGAACACACAGGAAGTGGGACAGCTCATCAGCTTGGAGTAACCCTACTGTTTACTAGGAGCCCACTCTGGGTTGGTCCTTCACAGGCCCTGGACATTCACCATCTTTCCAAGGGATTGGAGAGCCATAGGTCCTCCTGGGCACCTCCTCACCACCTCCTGCTCCCCTTGGTTAGGCCCTGGTGGAGGGGTGTACAGCACAGGTCAGGCAACATCCTGCACTCCCAGCCTTACTTCCTGATGGCTGAGGCCTCCTGGCATCTCATTTATTTACTCAGTAAATGCTGAGGGCCAGCAGCTGGGCTCACACATATGGAAAAGATCCACTGTTGTCAGGAAGGAGGAACAGGAATTGGTAGGACAATGAGAAGGAGAACAAAGTCAGGAAGGGAGCTGTTCCCTCCCCACTGTTTGACGCTTGGCCCCAACTCCAAGCCAAAGTTTCTGTGAAAACATATGTCTTGCATGTGGGTGAGCTCATCCTTGCCCCAAGACAATTGCAGACCATTGCATGAAGGCAGAGTCAGTGCACATCTTATTGCAGAAAAAGTCCTGGGAAACAGGTTGTTGGGATGAAGCTTAGTTAGTGTTCAAGTTAGCTATGGCTGCATAACAAATATCCCCAAAATGTAACTTAACAACAATCAGCTGATTATTATCAGTGATGGTTCTGGGAGTTGAATGGGCTCAACGGGTCTCACTCTCAGAGTCCCTCATGTGTTTGCAGTCAGATGGTGTATGGCCACCTTTGCAAGTGTACAGAGTTCCAGTGTTTGATTAAACTCAAGTCTAGATATGTCTTTGCAGTTATTTTTTATTTATTAAAATTATATATTTATTTATTTGGCAGTGTCAGGTCTTAGTTCTGGCATGAGGATCTTTCACTGCAGTGCACGGACACTAGTTGTGGTATACAGGCTCAGTACTTGTGGCCTGGCATAAGGGCTCCAGAGTGCACAGTCTCAGTAGTTTCAGGGTATGTAGACTTATTGCTCTGTAGCATTTGGAATCTTAGTTCTGTGACTAAGGATAGAACCCATGCACCCTGCATTGCAAGGGAAATTCTTAACTACTGGACCACCAGGGAAGTCCCTGCAGGTATTTTTCAAATGTGACTGGCATTTAAATCGGTAGACATCAGCAGAATCCTCCATAATGTGGGTAGGCCTTATCTAATCAGTTGAAGGCCTTAAGAGAAAATACTGTAAGGTTGCCTGGGAAGGAAGGAATTCTACCTCCAGACTGTCACTGGACTCAAGATTGCAATGACAACTCTCTCCTGCAGAATTTTGGACTTGCTAACTCTCACTGTCTTATGAACCAAGTTCTAAAAAATAAATCTCTTTCTGTATACATTCATATGTATATATATACACACACATACTTTCATATTCTGGAAAACCCTAATACATGGTGTCTCTTTCTTTGACAGAATAACAGCACACTCACACATACTGTCACACACACGAACAATATTGCTCATACTCACAAATCTCACAGTATATACACTCTGTATCTCTCACACATGCACATATGGACACATATATGCACACACACACACTCCCCCATCCTCCCCAAGAACAAGTGTCTGCCTAACTCTCTCCTCATGTGTAAGGCACAGCCTGTTATCATCTTTTATTTTCCCCCACACTTTCTAGAATGAGTATTCTCCAGTGTACAGAAATATAAAAGGAAGATTACAATGAATGTCGCCTACCTACCACCTGGCTTCAACAATTATTAACATGTTGTCACATCTGCCAATGATACTAATTATTATTTTTGCCAGAGCATTTGAAAGTTTATTTCTAATCCCCCCTGAAATTTCCCTCTTCTCTTTCCCATTTTCTCACACCATTATAGATTCAGATTTTAATTTATTTTCTGTTTCATAATAAATTATGTACATATTAATTTATAATATATAATTTTTATATAAATTATAATCATTATTTTGTGTGATTCTCACATTACACCATATCTGTCTAACAGAAGCCCCTTCAAGGTGTCTTCTGAGTCCTTTTGACCCATGCATTTCCTTGGTTTGGGCCTAACAAAATGTCCTGGGGTCATCTTGTCTTTTCCCTGGCTTGGCCTTAGAACTGCTCATTTCTTCATGGAGTCCTGGTCTTTTCTGGTGAGGGGATTTTAGAAACCAAGAATTGCACTTAAAGTGTGATCATTCCTACTGGTGTGTCAGTTTCTAGGCCCTTTCAGAGGATAGAGGTAAATCGTGAATTCCTATTAATATTTTAAATTCCAATTTCAGAAGGCACGAAGGAAGTTCTTGGGTGTCACAGAACTGGAGAAGCGGAGGAAGAGGGAGCAGTATGTCTGCAGAAGTCCCTGAGGCAGCCTCTGCGGAGGAGCAGAAGGAAATGGAAGATAAAGTGACTAGTCCAGAGAAAGCTGAAGAAGCAAAATTAAAAGCAAGGTATCCTCATCTGGGACAAAAGTCTGGAGGTTCTGATTTTTTAAGGAAACGATTACAGAAAGAGCAAAAATATTTTGATTCTGGGGATTACAACATGGCTAAAGCAAAAATGAACAAGCAACTTCCTACTGCAACCCCAGGTAAGACAGAGGTCACTGGTGACCCATTCCCACTCCACAGGACCTTCCTCAACGGAAACCATCTCTTGTTGCTAGCAAACTGGCTGGCTGATTAAAAAGAGCTGAACTGCATGGATCTTCTAATTCCCATTATTTCTCCTTAATATGTTACTCCTCTTCTTTTTATTTCCTTTTACCCCCTATGTCATTTGAGAGTGATGGCTTTGCAGATAGCGGTAGTGTGTGCTGCTATTGTAAGGGAATATACATGTGTAGAGTTTTTGATTAGTTTAACAGTGCACTGATGAAAAGAACATGTTAGAGCAACATAAAGTAATCTACTTGAAAATAATTGTATATATTACCTAACTCCTAGTGTAGGGCTGGATCCAACAAGTAACAAACAAGTTTTGCAGTTTTAATGTTGGCTTTCTTTAATTCATCTTAATTATAGCTTTGTATGTTACTCTTATTTAATATAACCTCTACTGTTGATTTCTTCTGGATTTTCCTTTTGGGTTTTGTAAAACAGAAATTTAAGACCACAGGTTAGAAGAAAGGTCACATATTTCAAACACAAATAAATGGGGCTCCAAAAGATTTCTATCCTGTGCTTGAACTTGAATGGCCTTAAATCTGTTTCAGCTTTAACAATAGAATTTTACTCAGGCAATATTTGCCCATTCTGGTGTAACTTACGTGACTCTATTGCTTAACAGCTGCTGTTGAAGCTAGTATTTTTATTCAGTTCTATAGTGTTCAGAATACCTTCTGTCATTGAAGATGTGAAGGAAGTGTGCATGTGCATCGACTGTTGAATTCACTTTTGTGCCATTTTTGTAAATACAATAGTTTTGCACAACCTCTCACAACTGTCTGTATTACTTCCACATATTAAAGAGTAGATAATGTGCCAACCAGAAGCACAAGAGTTCCTACAAAAAACTCTTTATGTCATTAGAGCTTTTGTATAGTAAGAGTAGTTTGTAGTTTTGGGGTTATAGAATACCAAACTGAAATCTTTGCTCAGACTGCCATAGACTTAAGCTTTTTCATTTGTTAGTAGTACCCATGACATTCAGTGGCCTTGTGCAAATATGATATGTTGCTTAGGCATATCTTTTGTCCTATGCAGAATATTTCATTTTGACTTTTATGAAAATTACTATTCATATAATTTATATAAACTTTTTAAATGTAGAAACTTTTTACTTCCACAGTCAATTTGGGGGTTACTAGAATAAAATACTTTGCCTCTTGTGAAAAAAAAATAATTCCAATTTCACATTACAGGTTTTTTATTTGACCTTCTATTTTTTTTTTTACCTTGCATCTCATGTCTTTTTTAGTGAAAGACTTGATTTCTAACTCTATTAACACAAATGTTTCCCTCAGTTTTAAACTTGGTCTTGGTCTCTACCCACAGCCTTTTATCACCTGCCATTGCCTGCTCGTCCTGCCCTTGGCAAGCCTGGCTTTGTGGAGACACCGTCTCCCCAGAACCCAGTAGCCTTGCTGCCTTCAACAGTCGAGCCCAGAGGTATTTTGCTGCTCACTGTGGGAGAAGGGGTGAGGCTGGAAATGGGAGGGGTGGGTAGAAGTAGACACATGGAGAGCTTGTGAGGTTCCAGCCGCCGATACTCTTCTGTCCCAGGCACTAGATGTGGTTCTGAGCTGCACTCTGCTGTGGCTGCAGACATGTAAGGTCCACATCTACCTGTGCTCTTCATGCTTTAAGCTATTAGAAGAGGTAATTAGCTTTTATAGTTCTTCAGAAACTCATGTTCCTTTTCGTGTTGATGTCTTGAAAAGCCCACAGGACGGTCATAGCCTCAGAGTAGCAAGACCAGTGTGCAGTGGGGAGGATGGCCATCTTGGGGGGCTGTTTCTTGGAAACAAGAATGGTTTCTGTTCTTCCTATGACCAGTTGACAAGGCTCTATGACCCCCTCATGTGGGTTCATTCATGTATTCTCCATTTGAGATGCACCCAGGATGCAATGCTCCTGACTGGGAGCCCACTTGCTCAGCTCACTGTGTGTGCGCTCATGCTCTGGGTGTCCATGGAGCACAGGGTTGGGGGTGAGGAGGCCCACATAGTCAGCCGGTGAAGCTAGGGCACGGTAAGTGGGGTAGAGAGAAGTGCCTGGGCTGCAGGGGCACAGGGGCAGGCATCTGGGCAGTTCAAAGGGCTGGGAACGCTTTGTAGAGTGGCTCCAGCACGGGCAGGAACTGCCCAGAGAGGCAGAAGGGTCGCTGGTGGGGGGAGTCCAGAGTAGTGCTCGGGAAAGGGAGGTGTGTGCTCTCTGCAGGAAGGGAGCTGCCTGGGCTGCTGGTGTGCTGAGACGGAGCCACAGGAAGGGGCCTTGGGGCTCGGTGGCCCGCCCAACCCCACATCCTGGTGTTTAAAAGTCCTCCAGAGTGAGGAGCAACATGGGTGTGTGAAACTGGCCTAATTCATGCGAGGAGCTGAGCACGTGGTCCTCCCGCAGGTGTTTAGTGTGACAGCTGGGCGTTACTGAGGCTGCTGAGGCTGCCAGCGTTCTTCACCTGAGCTGGCAGTTGCTGGTCACGAGGCCCAGCTGGGGCAGGCGGCCATGGAGCTGGATTGTCCAGTCCTACCCTGAGCATGGTTGCCGAGAGCTCTCTGCTTCCTGGGGCAGAACATGCTGACCTCCAGACACTGGGCTCTGGGGTGTTTGTCAGGTGGTGCCGTCAGCAACACCCACAGATTTTTCTCTGATGAGTCATCCTCCTCCCCAGTGAAGTCCTGAGTGCAGGTTAGACCCTGACAGGTCGTAGGGAAATTGTCCTGCAGCCATATAGTTGCTCATGGGAAGTGACATTTGTACAAGGACAAGCAGTGTGATAATGTCAGTAGATGCAATATGTTTGAACACCTCACTGTCTATCGACAAGGTACTGATTATGATATGTTCAGGCATGGAATATGATGCAGCTAACTAAGAGTGAGGAAGCTCCCTAACTGCTGATGAGCATTGGTTTCCAAAGTAGGAAGTACGAGATGAGGAGAGAGTGAGAGCTGTGTGTCCCTGTGGAGTGAAGTTTGGGCAGATGGAGTGCAGCCTGTGTTTGGAGGGGGGCCCAGGACATTCAATTCAGGTTGGGGGTGCATTTTCTATGTAAGGCCTTTTGTATCTTTTAAACTTCTCCATCTTGACATTCAAAATATATAACTTCTTAAACATTAAATCTTGGGATTCCAGGACAGGAAGATACCTCGGAGAAGGAAATGGCAACCCACTCAAATATTCTTGCCTAGAGAATCCCATGGACAGAGGAGCCTGGCAGGATACAGTCCACCGTGTCACAAGAGTTGGACTTGACTTAGTGACTAAACCACCACCAAACATTAATCTTACATATTAAAAAGAATTTTTAAAAATTGCTGGAGAGAAAATGGTCTGGTTGATGGTAGTAGGTTTCCTTCGGGGAATCTTGTATCACTCCCTCTGTCCATGAGGAGCGGTGGTAATTTGTGAGGCCACTGCTGGCCTCAGGCCATATGGGGACTTGTGGTCACCACCCTGGGACTTGATGATGAACTCATGTCCTGGAGAAACTGCTCTCCGCCCCAGTCAGGTTTTGCTCTGTAACATGCACTGACAACACCTCTGTGTTTTTGCAGCCACTAGCATGTATTTCTTGCTCTCAGGTCTGTGGGTTGGCTAGGATGGCTAAGCTCCAAGACTGGGAGGCAGCAAAGAGATGCAAAGTCCTGGCAGAAGTGCACTTGAGTGCCTGACCATGTCAACATGGGTTTTGCATCTGCTGGAACCTCATCTGTCAAAGCAATGGACCAGTCACGAGGTGGAGCAGCATGATGCACTGAATGTGGGTCTGAGGGATGGAGCCCAGAGGCCTGTAGCATCTATAGCATGTTCGCTTCCACACGTAATTCATGTTCCCTCCCAAGCATCTGCAGGGCACACAGCAGGTTTAAGGATGAGTCTTTCTTTGTCCTTCTTATCTTCCCCAAAATTTCTTAATCAAAGTTGGATGAGTCACTGATAAGACACCCTCCTCCACTTGACAGAAAACAAGGAACAGGAGTGGAAACAACCAGAATGAAAAGGCAAAAATGGTTCAGCACATGAAAAGATTAATCCAGTGACTGGAAGGTTGATTCAGCTGCAGACAGAAGTCCAAGGCTAGAATCTGGCCCCCGTTTCTATGGAAATTTGACTGAATGCCTCAGACAGCAGTGGAGGAGCAGGGGTGGGTGGATCTGAACTGCACATGGAGCAGACCTCCGAGGACCCCGGAACTTCCAGAAGCTGGTGAGGGCACTGGAGTGATGTGGTGTCTCTCACAGCAGCTCACCAAGTTCACTGCTGGTACAGGAGCCCCCGGGGTGACTCCATAGTTTGCTGGGGGCCACACTGGCTTCCCACAGCTTCTGGTGGTGACCAGAGCACTAGTGCCTGACTGGCCCTTATAGGCAGTGTCTGTGAAAGTCCGAGTGGCCAATTCTTGGTGTGTGGTGCTATCGCGTCAGCTTACCTCTACCTAAGAAGAGGCCAGGGAAGGGCGCTGGCAAAAGATGATGAACACAACTAGACCAACATCATGTCCACAAAAAGGTGATCTGTGAAACTGAGGAAGGCCCAGTCATCCAGGGAGGAGGCCAGCACACAGGGATGCTGAGCAGAACAGAAGGTCCCTTCCTGGAAAGCCTTGGTGCAGCCACCTCACACAGCGAGCTCTTGGGCCAGGGCCGGGTCATCTGGGGCACTGGTCTGCTTGGGGGTAATCGGAGCTGACTGGGGAGGGTCTTCCCAGGTGGAGAGTCATGAAGGGTCAGGGTGACTGCATGTGAGTGCTGGAGGCCTGGGTCAGGAAGCCCCACAAGTGCAGGCTCTCTTGCTCCTTGAGCAGGTCTTCGGGGGTGCCCCTTACAAAAGAGCATGTTATATCCGTGACCGAGCTTTGTGGGGACTCCACCCACAACGCATATAGATTCCGGGCTAACTATAGTGACGTTTTGTGGATGACAGATTCACAATCCAGGCCCTGTTAAAACTATAAAACCATTAAAGCACAAACCTGTTAGCCAGATGGATCTGACTCGGTTACCCTGGGAGGGCCATCC